GGTAGAGTACGTCTTCCTTGAATACATTTCAAACAAAATATTGCCTTCAGAATAGAAGCTGAATTACCCATACTATTGCACTGAAACGAAGGAACTTTCCAGCATATGACCACCATTGTGCCTACCTCCCTGATGGTTCACATATAGTTAAGTTGGACAATAAAAGCTACGAAGTGCTCTGACTTATGATTGACGGTAACGAAGTTCAAGATAAGCTGTAGGGCTAAAAGGTTGAAAATTTAGTTATCCCTTCGGAACGTCGAGTTCTTTTACTTATTCTTATCTGCTACATAACGATTAATGGTGAGTGGAATATTGTTGTCCTGAAAAAGGTTGCCAAACTGAAGCACACATACACTGGCTCTCTCCTCGTTCCAAGCGTCCCTTTGAGCCGCAAAATTTGCCCGTTCTTCGTCCATCATCTCTGTGAATTGGGTTGACTGCTTAGTTACTAGAAGGCACAGGGTAGGAAGACAGATACATGGAAATACATGTTTGTTCGCTGAGGCGAATAAAGGAAAAGATTATAAAGGAACATACATTTGGCTTCGTAATCTTTGCACAGCGCTGCCACTGAAAGGACAGGAATCAAAATTGAGCGCACTGCCAAAGTGCTCCTAGTTTTTGGAGTAGATAATTCATGCGTTGTGTAAGAAAGTGGGAGGAGAGATAAGTGAAATAAAACTCTCGACGTTACGAACAAAGGCGAATGTCTAGCCTGACGATGGTCAGGCGCAGGCTTGGAGAATTAAGGAGATAGACTATAAAAGGATATAAGAACATTTAAAATGGATCGTGTAACATGGTTGTTATTAGTTCAACTCTTGCTCTTGATGGAGGTTCATCTGGATAGCAATTGTACTTTCCCAGGTCGACTAGCCTCTGAACCAAGCCAATAGCCCTAATCCTTTCTATACGCCAAACACATATTCTGTTCAAGTATTACATCTTCGTCCGTTCTGACAAACGCCTCCGGTCTCTACCGAGCGCATCAATCAAGCCTGAAAAGCTCGTTTTGCAAAGGGCAAACAAAAATGGGATCGATGGCAAGAACCGGACGAGTGGTTACATTATAGGAACATGAAATCTACGAACCAATGCATTACATTTAGAGAAATTTTAACAATCTATGAAAAGCTCATACGACACTGACTAATGAGATCAGTTAGGAGGTCTAAATTTCAACAATCCATTCAATAACAATGGGAATCGTTATATAAAGAATAACTGCGCTGAGTGAGACTGAAATTACTTTTTGACACCCTACAGACTGTGGTGGACGATACCCTGGGACGCGTAGTAGAGGTTTTGTTATTGTTGCTCAATAGACTACTGTCCATACTTATGCCATCATACCAACTCAGCTACCCCAGCATTACCGAGAAGGATGCTATAATAATTCTGGCTCGCGTTCGTATTTAGCCCAAAATTATTATTACCTCCACAATAACGAGTTTCACTACCTCAACACTTGGTCCAAAACCAGGCCACCTAAGCGGATTATTGCGAAATGTTCATAACCAGAGCATTCACTTTAGAGAGGAAAGACGACAAAGGGCATCCAAATTGCCTTTCAATTTTCAACTATTCAGCTACTCATTCGGTTTATGTTAGCCCTTTCTCAGTCTCTTAGCAGCGCAAGCGATTTGTGTAGAAGCCGGTGTGATGCCGAGGAATGTTAACTTTTGAATACAAGCCCATGCTGTATCACTTAAGAAGTCAACAGTGCACTTACCCAAAGTCTAATGCAAAAGATCCAAGATGACTTTCAAACAATACCCCCAGCTTGAATTTCACTTTTCCTTAAACAACCTACATTTTTCCTCAGTGGTGAGGTTAACTGCCACCAACTGAGCTGCATGGGCTTTGTTCACGGTTTCGAGTTCACGGCGTAGGCACTGGACCTCCTCATTTAGCCGGGTAACTTCCTCTTTCAATCTGATGTTCTCTTCCTGAATCTCCACCAACACACTGTAATCCGTCTTATGCGCTTCTAGGCTGGTTAGCATACGATCTAGGTCTTTTTCGGGGCAAACGGGAAAGAAAGTCACGTAGCAAGGTAATGTTTTGAAAAAGAAAAATGAAAAGTGACTTTTAGAAGGGGCAGAGGTTATGGTGTTGCTTGAACAATGACCTGCGTAAAATCTATACTGTCAACAAAGATAGCACCAGCATTGTCTAAAAATGGAAAGATATCATGATCGGAGTTATGTGATCACTTCCACGTAGAAATTTTAGCAACGTGGAAAGTTTGAACTTTACATTTAATCAACGAAGGCTTTAAGCGCAGTACTGGAGGCAATCCTCACATCACTTTTGCCATCAGTATTTCTACTATGGGATCGCACCTCTATAAAATTTCACCAAAGCACCAATAGGTAGGAACCTATTAACTTCTCTTATCACATGCACAAAGAAGGGAACAAATTTCTGCTAATTAACTTGAAAAATATGCAAATGAACGTAAGTGACCCAATAAAATTGTTCTGTTTGCCTAAGCATTACTAGAGTGCTTGCGTACAGATTGGTAACTTAAGCATGAAACAGATGCCAACTCATTTCCTCTGCCAGGTGGACGTTAGGTGAGTTTAACGTAATAAAATTGACCAAGGGTTTGCGATCAACAGCTTGCATGGGAATAGTTTCAAAACGAGTCAGAGTGGGAGCAAAATGATTTTATGTAATTTTTTCTTCGTGCATGATTCTCTCGCTGGTCCACCACACATCCCTACCTGCACAGATTTGTAGATGATTATGGTTGCATAGATATAAAAGATGACTACTTTGACATACCCGCCAGGACTTCAGCCAAAGAGAGAGGGGGGTGATTCATTTTCAACCGTTTTGCTTCATCCTCTTGCCGGAGCCTGAGGATCTCGAACTGCATTTCCTCAATGTGCTTAAAGCCAACGGCAGATGAACAACCAAGAAAGCAACCTACCCGTTCCATTCCAATAAATAAGCTTTCCAGTACCTCCAGGTCATCGTTTGATTCTGAATGCAAAGGTTCTCCTGCAGCACCAATTGCATCAGTCAAACTGTTTACGGCACTTTTCTCCTGATGGGCAGTTGTATCTCCTACGGAGGTCTCGATCGCCAATGCTGGATCAGAGACTTGATCCTCCGACTGAGTTTCCACTTGCCCAACTTGCCAAGGA